GCAAAATCGCTAAAAGTTGCCAAATCAACCGTTACAAATGTAATTAAAGTGTTTGGGGAACGTTTGTCGACAGCCAGGAAGTCTGGATCGGGGGGAAATCGAAAACCGGAAGCCGCTGAGACGACAAAGAGAGTTGCCGGTAGTTTCAAGCGAAACCCTAACCTCTCTCTCCGAGATGCCGCAAATAAGCTGGGTGTATCGTCTACAACCGTGCATCGAGCCAAAAAACGAGCCGGACTATCGACTTACAAGAAGGTAGTGACTCCAAATCGCGATGATAAACAAAATACGACGGCCAAAGCGCGATCCCGGAGGCTGTACACGACGATGCTGACGAAGTTTGACTGCGTGGTAATGGACGACGAAACCTACGTCAAAGCCGACTACAAGCAGCTTCCGGGACAGGAGTTTTATACGGCAAAAGGAAGGGGAAAGGTAGCAGATGTTTTCAAGCACATGAAACTGTCAAAGTTCGCAAAGAAATATCTGGTTTGGCAAGCCATCTGTACCTGTGGCTTGAAAAGCAGCATTTTCATAGCTTCCGGGACTGTCAACCAAGAAATTTACGTGAAAGAGTGTTTGAATAAACGTCTGCTGCCTTTCCTGAAGAAACACGGTTGTTCCGTACTGTTTTGGCTGGATTTGGCATCTTGCCATTACGGTAAAAAGGCCATGGAGTGGTACGCCGCCAACAACGTGCAGGTGGTTCCCAAGGACAAGAACCCTCCCAACACGCCAGAGCTCCGCTCAATTGAGAAATACTGGGCTATTGTCAAGCGGAACCTAAAGAAGACCAAAAAAACTGCTAAGGGCGAGCAGCAGTTCAAGGCAAACTGGCTTTCTGCGGCGAAGAAGGTGGACAAGGTGGCTGTACAAAATCTGATGGCAGGGGTCAAGCGTAAGGCCCGGCAATTCGGATTTGGAAAAGCGGAAGCCTAACTGAATATTTTTCCTGAATTTTATACTAATTGAACTTGAAAAAGAAATTTAATTTGATTTTTTAAATAAACGATTTCACCGATTTACACGCGTTTTCCCTTGACCAAATTTTGACCGTATCACCCTTTAAACATCAAAAACATCGTCTCTCTGTACAGCTCTCGTATAGTACTTCGCATTCTCTTCCACTTGGGTCTTTCACATCATTTAATACCAATAAATCAAAATTCTAACCAAAGCCCAACAAAGTCACTGTCAACCGAAAATCGCCAAGCGACGACGAAGCTATCAACCATCACTTTCAATTGAAAGTCATTCTGTCTTCTCTTCGAGCAGATACCCTTCAACATCAACAGAACCATTTTTGATCAGTTTCCGTCCTGTTTGTTTTGGCTAGACTCGTGTTCATTTCGTCTTTCATTGTCAAATGAACTTACTTTCGCATTGAAGCGAAGCTGTTCAATCCAAATTCGCGCAGTTTTTCTGACTTTTGTTGATTGTTCACTCTGTTAATTGAAGCGCATGCGCATAGAACTATGCACGTCGATGTCAAATTTATCACTGTGGTTTGTTTACCCATCAATATGCATATTTTGGGAATTGGGGTGACGTCTAGAGGCCAGAAATCGATATGCGAAGACATTTTGAAATCCATGATGGCAGCTTCCGATTTCCGAGAAAAAGAGAGGAAACACTAATGCCAACCCATTAATATGGAATTGAGGTGACATCTAGAGATAGGAAATATATATGTGACGCCATTCCTAAATCCAAGATGGTGGCCTCCATTTCAGAAAACTGGAAAATACTGTAAAATATCCTCAATATGGGTATTTTTGGAATCGGGATTACGTCTAGAGAATTAAAATAGATATCCGACGCCATTTTGAAATCTATAATGGAGGCTTCCGGTTTAAGAAAAAGTGGGAAATTCTATCAAATACCCATACATATGTTTTTTTTTTTAGAATCAGGTGAATATGTCATGTGGTATGTTGATATTTTCAAAATCCCAGTAACTTCTAGAGACCAGCAGCCAATGTTTGACGTCATTTTAAAATCTAAAATGTCGGCTTTAGTTCAGAAAAAGTTTGGAATACTGTCAAATACCGATAAATTTGAGTATTTTTGAAATCGGGGTGACATCTAGAGGCCATAAATCGATGTCCGATGCCGATGAAATTCAAAATAGCGTCGAATATCAATTTTGAACCGATTTTGAAACCCGATGCCCTCCATATTGGATTGCAAATTGGCGTTAGATATCGTTTTTCAGCATCTACGTGTTGTCCCCGTTCGATAAATACCCATATTTTAGGATATTTGAAACTTTTTATGAAACCCGATGGCTGCCATCTTGGATTCCAAAATGGCGTCGAATGTTAATTTACGGCATTTAGTTTTTTTTTTTTTTTTTTGTTTATTAATTTATTTGATAAGGCTCAACCGAATTAACTTTACAGAGCCGAGGATTCTTGGTCACTATACAATACATCTTAAAACTATAGTCAAAAGGTGCAACACAATAAACACTTTATCTTCCGCTATCCAAAAAGCCTCCTCCATCAGAACTGGAGCCGCTTCCAGTGGTTTCATTGTATGGCAAATTGTTGTACGCCAACGAGGGTCAGAGCGCGTCCATTGCAGCAATGGACGCAAAACGTGGTCAGCACTCACACACTCATCACGAAACGGTTGCTTTCCAAAGTCGACGAATAATCGACCGAAAGAACTGCTGATGAAGAACAATGAGGAGGACCACACAATGGTTGCTGCCGAGAAAACAGACGATCGCGTAGCACACATCGAGAGTGGCCTGCTTTTGTCGACAGCCGAGTGAACACTGAATTTACGGCATTTACGCGTCGTTAAATTTCCGAAAATACCCACATCTTAGGGTATTTGACACTTTTTCTGAGCCCAATTTCCACGATTTCCAAAATGGTGACGGACATCGAGTTTTAGCACCTTCGCGTCATCTTCATTCCGAAAATACGCATATTGTAAGGTATTTGAGACTTTTCCGGACTTTACTTAATTTCGTTAATTTAATTTTCGTGTAATCCCGAATTGAAGTGAAAGTGGAAAAAAAAACAAAGAAAGTAGTTTTTGAATCATTTATTGTGTCAATTGAAACAAGTGTTTGCTTCAAATGAAATGAACTGACGCACTTGACGAACGAAACAAGCGATAGTCAAGTCATGTTTGACAGGAGGAATGTTCACCGTGACTCGATAACAAGAAACACAATGACTTACACGAAAATGATATTGCTCGAAGTGAAGCGATTTTGCAGAGAGTTCATTTTCTTTTATTTGTTTCGAAAATGCAGAACCCTGATTCTTACCTGTTAAATCACTCACCTAATCATGTATCCACATGTCAAATGAAATCAAAATAGTAGTTTACTATATTCTCATCATGTATTGTGTGTTACACTCACAACTTTTACTGCGTACGTACTACACAATTTATTTCTAAATGATATCAATCATCACACTAAATTACTATTATAAGTGATATGTCATAACAAGATAGGTTATGTAACGTAATATCACATCTTTTGACTGAACTTGGCGTTAATCTGCACAAACTTTCCTACGATCCGTTATATTTGAATAATTTTAGTGCCATTTTTGAAAATGGTTCGATTTAAAAGATCGATTCAAAAAGATCGATTCAAAATGATTGATTAAATCGGTAAATCGATTATTTTCAAAAAAATTAATCTATTCACAGAGATTGATTCTTGCCTCAAGATCGCCCAATGCTATGATTATTTTGTCCCTTTAGCGGTGCCGGTGGTGTAGTGGTAAGCGTGATTACCTCTCACCCCAGCAGGCCTGGGTTCAATCCCAGTCGGCGCCGCCGGGATGTTCTGAGGCATAACATCTCTGATCACGCCTTCCTTCGGTAAGGTAAGTAAAGCCGTTGGTCCCCGGTCCATGAGTTGATGGGTCGATAGGTAGGGTCCAGGTGTGGGAGCTGCCTTCCTGGCGTCGGTAGCATTGGTGCTCAGCACGGAAAACAAGATCGACGGAAAACAAACCAAGGATAAAAAAAAAAAAAATTGTACCTTTTAGCAGGTAATATTACACCATATTTTCGACACGATAGAAATGTTAGAAGCACGGTATAACCAAGCCGGAGGCAGTGGGTTCGATTCCTGGTCCGGTCGAGGGAATCTTTCGGGTTGGAAATTTTCTCGACTTCCCTGGGTGCTTGTCACACAGTATACACATTCATGCATTTTTTGCTCGATTTAGCGTGACATAATTAATGCATGGGCCCTGTGTAGACGCATATACACACTAGACTACACTTGATAACTTCAGAACCAATATAACTCAAGACGAAAAAAGAACATCGCTGATTTTTTTTTCATATGTTGTTCAAAAAAGCTTTAATTTTCTAGGAAACGTGATAAAACATATATCACCCTCTGTCTACAAACCATAGCAAACAAATTCAATCAATGTTTTTCATAACAAATTCGCTTTTCTTATGTTATTTTTTTTTATCTCAACAGCATTTTTAATTATTTTTCATTTGATATTTTGATCTTTGAAATCGGCACAGTGGTTCAAAAGTTATGAAGTTTTGAAAAAAGTCATTTTTGAAAAAAATGTTTTTCTGGACGACCCTAACATGGAAATGGTCACCCTAATGACAAAATAAAATTAAAATATTGGGAATGGCTGCATACATAAATGTTACTACCAAACCCCCAGTGATACGACACCTGCTGTAAACTCCACCACTGACGTTGAAGTAAGGAATTTCAGTGACGTGTGCTTTTTTACTGATAGCCTACTTTCGGTGATGTACGCTTATTTTACTAATATCATGTTTCGTTCTCTTTCCAGACGGCCCCCTGCACCCAGTCAAGATGGATAAAAATTTAATTAATTCTTACTTCTATCATTTCAGCTATCGAGATGCTGATTTCACACTTGCAGTTGCCTTCGTCGTTTAATAAGCATTTTTTAAACAATTTCCTTGACCCAATTAATCAGTTTGAAAATTTCTGTTTGTCTTTTTTTCTGTCCTTCCAAACCTAGGACCATCCACATTTCCCTTAGCATCTAGGCTCCCTCTTCTGTTCCATCCGATCGATCGTCGAATCTAGCGTGACCGCCATCAAGCACCAATTACCAACCCAATCCTCCCCCAGGCAGAGCATTCTCCCAGGGGATCCAAGCTGACAGCAATCATCCCACCTTTCGGGGATCGGTATTCGTAATATGACAGAAAGTGTCACGGTGCCAACGATTGAATGTCTAGTTAGTGCGCTGGATGTTGTTGACCAGACCGGGGAAGAACAGCAACAGCGGCAGCAGGAGCATCAACACAACGACGGGACGACTGCAGTCGAACTTAACTTACTGAGGGAACACAAGGACGGCGAAGAGCAGCAGGTGGTCAAAATGACACAGAATAAGGTCAGTTGGTGGATTCTTTTCCGAAGCATTGAAATCATCGTTCCCAATCCGATTACAGGTAGCGAAAAAAGATGACCTGCCAGAGCGTGGAACCTGGGGGTCGAAGCTGGACTTCATCCTATCCGTAGTGGGGCTGGCCATCGGGTTGGGCAATGTGTGGCGTTTTCCTTATCTCTGCTACAAGAACGGTGGTGGAGCTTTCCTCATTCCGTACTTTTTGACCCTGATTCTGGCGGGTATTCCCATGTTCTTCATGGAACTTGCACTGGGGCAGATGTTGACCATCGGTGGACTGGGCGTGTTCAAAATTGCTCCCATTTTCAAAGGTGCGTTAGTTACAGGTTTGTGGAGGTTAAACCAATTATTTCATGAAGGATCTTTTACACAGGCATCGGTTACGCGGCAGCTGTGATGTCGTGCTGGATGAATGTGTACTACATCGTTATTCTGGCGTGGGCCATATTCTACTTCTTCATGTCACTGCGGGCAGGTACGTTTTGATTCTAGGTTCAGATTAGGAAAATCAACAGCTAACACACATTTCCCCGCTGACAGATGTCCCTTGGCGTTCTTGTGATAATTTGTGGAACTCGCCAAACTGCGTAAACCCCTACGATAGGAAGGATCTCCTCTGCTGGGAATCCCTTGGTGTCAACAGTACGATAACCAAAGTTTGTTCACTTAACTCGAACAACGTCTCACTGAGCGAAATGACCGATCCAGTGAAGGAATTCTGGGAGTAAGCAGTGCAACATTGTTTTGATGATGTAAAACTGGCATGCTAAATGTTCCATTTTCAGGCGTCGCGCTTTGATGATTTCCAGTGGTATCGACGAGGTTGGATCGATCCGTTGGGAGCTGGCTGGAACTCTGCTGCTTGTGTGGATCCTGTGCTACTTCTGCATCTGGAAGGGTGTCAAATGGACCGGCAAGGTCGTGTACTTCACAGCTCTGTTCCCGTACTTCCTGTTGACTATTTTGCTAATCCGAGGCATCACTCTACCGGGTGCTATGGAGGGAATCAAGTTCTACGTGAGCCCCAATTTGTCCAAACTCGCGGAGTCTGAGGTAGATATTTACTGCATTTCAATCCAAGCATGAGTTCAAAATCCATCAATTCTTCATAGGTGTGGATCGACGCTGTAACGCAAATCTTCTTCTCATACGGTCTCGGTCTGGGAACACTGGTTGCTCTGGGCAGTTATAACAAATTCAACAACAACGTTTACAAGTAATATCCCTTCCACAAGCCCAAAACTCCCGCAGTCCAACTAACCATTTTTTTCCAACCAACAGAGATGCCCTGATCGTGTGTACGGTCAACTCCAGTACCAGTATGTTTTCCGGTTTCGTCATCTTCTCCGTCGTCGGGTTCATGGCTCACGAACAGCAACGTCCAGTGGCTGAAGTGGCCGCATCCGGTCCTGGTCTTGCTTTCCTAGCGTATCCTTCGGCGGTGCTACAACTTCCGGGAGCTCCCCTGTGGTCGTGTCTGTTCTTCTTCATGCTGCTACTGATCGGTCTCGATTCCCAGTTTTGTACCATGGAAGGCTTCATCACAGCCGTTATTGACGAATGGCCACATCTGCTGCGCAAGCGTAAGGAGGTGTTCATCGCTGTGGTTTGCTTTATCAGTTATCTGGTTGGTTTGACGTGTATCACAGAGGTATGTTTCACGAAAAAAAAATCATTTCTTGAATAACCTGTTGAAAATCAAATTATCCTTCCCCCCAACAGGGTGGCATGTACGTATTCCAACTTCTCGACTCGTACGCGGTGAGTGGTTTCTGTTTGCTGTTCCTGATGTTCTTCGAGTGCATTTCCATCTCGTGGGCGTTCGGTGTGAATCGTTTCTACGATGGTATCAAGGACATGATCGGATACTATCCCTTGGCGTGGTGGAAGTTCTGCTGGGTTTTTACGACTCCGGCGATCTGTATCGTAAGTATTCTGGAGGCTGGTTGACACCAGGATGGGTGGAACAGGTAATTTGTTTCCATAAACTGACTAGAACGGTTAGGCGTGATGTAAGGATAGTTGAGGATCGAGAGAGTGAAGTTTCAGGCATCGTGGAATGTGGACGTCGTTCGTTGGAGGAACAACTGAAGGTAAATGGGCACTAGATGTTTTCAGTTTCTCATTGCAGCTTTCAAGTCTGGCTCATGGAAGCGGATTGGAGAATATTTTCACTTTCGGTTGCTGTAGGGAGAAGCGAGCGAGAAGTTAACAAGCATTTTAAATTTGAAATGTTTAATAGAGCAATAGATGTATGTGATAATAAATATTTTGTAATGATTTACTTTTGGTTTTGATATATTCGTCAAATAAAATCCTTACATCTAACTGAAATGACTAGAAATAATTATTTTTTTTAACAATATCACAATCCTCGGTAGACTATTTCATGGTAAGTATTTTTAATAATTCGTTTATTTTGTATGGGTCAAATTTATTTGGAAAAATCGTCATGAGTCACACGACTTCAAATAATATTACAAGAAAATGAAGGAAAAATCTAATAGACATTATGACATTATAAAACATTCTGAATTTTATCCCTCCACTTGTTTAATGTTAAGATTGTAGACATAGCCAGGGATGGAAAATCATTTACATTCATTTCGTGCATTCATTTACATTCATTTGCCTCTAACTTTTTTCATCAACAGAATTTCTTAAAATAGTGTTTGAAGCTTTTGTTGGTTTTGATATTAGTTACATATTTTGCAAACAACTCAAATCGGTATCTCTTATGCATGATGAATCAGTGTAATAAGAACCCACCATTGTTTTTCAGTGAATGTAAATTGCATTCACTGAAAAACAATAACATGTTCTGCCAGCTCTAGTTCGTCAGGCATAAGAGATTCAGATTTTAATAATTTACGAGAGTTGAAGTTAATATCAAAAGCTACAAAAGCTTCATAAATTATTTTACGGTATTCTTTTGATGGAAAAAGTTACAGGCAAATGAATGTAAATGAATGCACGAAATGAATGTAAATTATTTTCCATAGCAACGAAATTGTTTAACCGTCTTGCATACAACATGGATTATCCGTGCGATATTATGATTAAACCTTAGCGGTGCCGGTGGTGTACTGGTAAGCGTGATTACCTCTCACCCCAGCAGGCCTGGGTTCAATCCCAGTCGGCGCCCGGGATGTTCTGAGGCATAACATCTCTGATCACGGCTTCCTTCGGAAGGGAAGTTAAGCCATTGGTCCCCGGATCATGAGTTGATGGGTCGATAGGTAGGGTCCAGGTGTAGGAGCTGCCTCCTTGGCGTCGGTAGCATTGGTGCACGAAAAACAAGATCAACAGAAAACAAAATCAAAGAAAAAAAAAAGCTCAACCCATCCATTCCCAGAAGGTTTTTCGTTGTCTTGAGATTGGAAAAAAAATGTGTCATTGAACTTAGTGCTCGATGGAAAAAGATATTCCGGTTATACGGTTTATAATTAGCGAATTAATTTAAAAATGGTTCAGTTTAAAAGCAATAGTATTTTAATTGATTTTCGATAGTTGATTTCTCAATAACACATATGGGCAAGAATACTAAGCACACGTTCTGCGTGCTTAAATAAGTACTGAGTATTAAGTGGTCGATTGACAAAAATTAGACGGGCCGAAAAGTTATGGATCACCCTTTAATCAAACATTTATGGAATATAGCTTCGATTTAAACACTCCTTTGCAAAGCAAAGATGAAATTAATTATGCTCCTGAATCTCTGACTACTTCTATAGTTGAAGCAAGAGTTGCCTCAGTACTAAAATGCAAGGTTAAATTCGATTCAATTATAAAAGACGATGGTCTTCAGCTCTTGAACCGCCTGAAAAATGTCCGTATGAGACAATATCAAAGATAACGCGATCATCCTATAAAAGTTATCTGGCGGGATTTGCAAAAACAAATTAAAAAGCAATTCTCAGGCCTGAGGAACAAAACTTTTGAAAATAATGTTTCTAAATTAGACCCAAGTTCCAAACCCTTTTGAAAACTAACAAAAATTTTGGAAAAACCTCATAAGCCTATTCCGGCGCTTAAGGCAGGTGGACAAATTTTAATCACAAATTCGGAAAAAGTTCAGAAACTTGTTAAGCAATTCGAGAGTTTCCATAGTTTCAGATTGGGTCTTACTAGTCGTATTGAAAATATTATTGATGATGCCTGGATGGCTGATTTGGACGAATTAAGATCTATAACAAAAAAATATCAAACTATGAAAGCTCCAGGTGATGATGGATTTTTCATATACTCATCAAAAACATTCTAGAGAGTACCTTGTCTTTCTTGGTAAAATTATTTACATGTGTTTTCATTTAGCTTACTTTCCTATTTGATGGAAGAACGCAAAAGTTGTTCCAATTTTGAAGCCGCATAAAAATCCAGTTGAAGCTTCTAGCTACCGTCCAATAAGTTGGCTTTCTTCAATAAGTAAACTTTTTTAAAAGATAATTTTTAAATAGAATGATGCTTCACATCAATACAAACTAAATTTTTGCAGATGAGTAGTTTGAATTTCGCCATAGGCATTAAACTACTCATCAACTCTTAAGAGCTACCAATTTAATTCGTTCAAAAAAAAAATAAATCTGAAAGCTGCTCAACTGGAGTTGCTCTTCTAGACTTATACAAAATCATTCAACAGTGTTTGGCATAAAGGTTTGATTGCTAAATTTAAAAAGTTTAATTTTGCACTCTACGTTATGAAATTAATTAAAAATTATTTAACTGACAGAACTCTGCAGGTACATTAGGGTGATGTGCCAATATGGTAGTAGTGCAGCAACTAACTAGGAAAAAAACACTTCAATGTTCTGAATATGATTTTGAAGTTGCCTCCCTGGTACAGTATTACCGAGGTACATAGAATTGTGAATGTTGAGACTTTAGAACAAATTTCCAACAAAATAATGAATAATTTCAAGCAAAAATCGTTGCAATCTTCAATGGCAACGATTAATTCCCCTTATGCTGAGATAAGATTTAGATTTAGTTTTTAGATTTGAGATGTGAATTGTTATGCTGACATGCAGGTATGGAAAGCCTGTTTAAAATACTAAATTTCCAAGACAGGAACAATGTAAAAACAGTTCATAACAATGTATGTTTATATCATAACAATTAAGGCTGGAACTTAATGTAGTTGCTGAAGCACCTAAACACTTAGATTGTTTTGCCGAGGTGGGCACCACCGAGCAGCTTGGCCTTTTATTTTGCTAGATTTCAGTGAAAATTTTTGCCGAGATGCAGCAAAATTCTGAGATCTCGCCAAAATTCCCATTTGTTAGCTGAATCTCGGGAAGTTTTTCACTGAAATCCAGCAAAATAAAATGCCGAGGTGCTCGGTGGTACCCATCTTGGCAAAAAATCTTAGGTTAATATAAAATGCTATTTGTTTTAAATTTGGAACAAATAAAGAGTTAAAAACGAAATAAGGTATATAATAACTTTTCAAGCATAAGTCGATTGCAGTTTTCGTCAAAGTTGTTTTGCAAAATATTAACAATCTTAATCAGAGGTTTGGTTAAAATTGAGGCATTTTTGAATATTTGACAAGCAACTGAATACTTTCGTGTCATTGCCCATACAAAATTTAAAATTGTCCAGATCAAAACCTCCCTTAGCTCAGTCGGTAAAGGCGCAGCTACAAAGCAAGACCATGCTGGAGTTGGCTGGGTTCGATTCCCGGTCCGGTCTAGGAGTTTTTCGGGTTGGAAAATTTCTCGACTTCCCTGGGCATAGAAGTATGATTGGACTTGCCACACAATTATACCAATGCAAAAATGGTACAGGCATCGAAAGCTCTCAATTAATAACTGTGGAAATGCATCTAGAACACTAAGTTGAGAGCACGCAATAAGCTGATATGCGATATGCAATAAGCTTGAAAGGCGGAGAAGAAGAAAGAAGATCAAAACCAAATTTGCTCAAATTTTGCACAGTTGTTGGGGACCTCAATGTGCATCGAAAGAACAGTGGGGAGCATGGGGTTGTGATGTTGACCCATCCTAGTGTGCACTAGGAGTCGAAGAAATTTACATGAATCTTTCAAATGGTGTGTGCCTCAGTCGGTAAAGGCGCAGCTATAAAGCAAGGCTGATGAGGCGATTTGAAGAACGTCTCTACCTCCCTGGGCATACAGTATGATTGTCCCGGCCACACAATTATACTAAGGCAAAAATGATACAGACATCGAAAGCTCTCAATTAATAACTGTGGAAGTCCATCTAGAACACTAAGTTGAGATCACGCAATAAGCTAATATGTGAAAACCAATTAGCTTGAGATGCGATGAAGAACAAGAAGGTGGTAGGTGATATGCAGTTTGCTTTTGCTCACGTGCCCGAGATTTCCTTGATTCTACTTTTCTTCAAAGTTTTTGCTTCGCCAGGACTAGCCCATTTTCCGACTAATCGTAATTCATTCGCTACATCTTATTATAGTATAGGGTAGAGAACTTCTTCGGCCTAATCGTCCATTTTGGGCCTATCGAGCAGAAAACATCAAATAAATCCATGATTTCAGAGTTAACAAGTCAATTATGCGTTTGGAACGATACTTTAGTTAATAAGCTACCGAACGAAGTCAAGGAGAACGCGTGGTATGAATTTTTGCACCTATTGTTCCCAAAATCAAAAGAAGCGCTCCGACCGAATCAATTTTTAACTTCATCCGATAGGCCGAAGTGAATTCAGTGGCGTTTCAATGCGTTAGGCCGAGTTTAGAATCCGTAGGCCAAGTTTGGTGTCAAGAAGCAGTGTTAGATTTTTAACAATATTTCAACGATTGGTTTCTCTTTATCAAATCCTACGGTTCATACGGAAAGTTTAATAAATTTGGAAGCCATCAGTAATAATGACATTCCGTTTAGTGCTAAACTGTGCTAGATTAAGAAAGAGTAAGTGCGGGTTGTGCTTAATAGGCTGGAAATGGTGTACACACTTAGAAATATTCATGTAAATTTAGGTGACATAAAATTAAGTCATAATAGACGCGAAGTTCAGCACAATCAAACGTACTATTTACTTTTCGTCGAACTATTTACTTTTCGTCGAGTAACAAACTTTTTAGTCTCGGAGCATTTAATTTTACATGACATGTTTGTTTACGTGTCATCTTTTATGTCAAAGATGGATTCTGTCACGTGTAAAATTAGGGATTTCTAAGTGTGTAGTTAACCCTACTTCCCCAAATTTGAAGCATTAGTAGGTGTCATTCGTATGCTTGGAAACAGACAGCTG